TCATCTCATCTCATCTAATCATCTCAAATCATCTCATCTCATCTCATCTCATCTCATCTCATCTCATCTCATCTCATCTCATCTCATCCCATCTCAACTTATCTCATCTCATCTCATCTCATCTCATCTCATCTCATCTCATCTCATCTCATCTCATCTGTCTCAACTCATCTCATCTCATCTCATCTCATCTCATCTCATCTCATCTCATCTCATCTCATCTCATCTCACTCATATCATCTAATCTCATCTCAGCTCACCTCATCTCATCTCATCTCATCTCATCTCATCTCATCTCATCTCATCTCATCTCATCTCATCTTCGTATCTCATCTCATCTCATCTCATCTCATCTCATCTCATCTCATCTCATCTCATCTCATCTCATCTCACACTCATCTCATCTCATCTCATCTCATCTCATCTCATCTTATCTCATCTCATCTCATCTCATCTCATCTCAACTCATCTCATCTCATCTCATCTCATCTCATCTCATCTCATTTCATCTCATCTCATCTCATCTCATCTCAAATCATCTCATCTCATCTCATCTCATCTCATCTCATCTCATCTCCCATCTCATCTCATCTCATCTCATCTCAGCTCATCTCATCTCATCTCATCTCATCTCATCTCATAATCTCATCTCATCTCATCTCATCTCAGCTCATCTCATCTCATCTCATCTCATCTCATCTCATCTCATCTCTCTCATCTCATCTCATCTCATCTCAACTCATCTCATCTCATCTCATCTCATCTCATCTCATCTCATCTCATCTCATCTCATCTCATCTCAACTCATCTCATCTCATCTCATCTCATCTCATCTCATCTCATCTCATCCGTATCTCATCTTATTTCATCTCATCTCATCTCATCTCATCTCATCTCATCTCATCTCATCTCATCTCATCTCCATTTCATCTCATCTCATCTCATCTCATCTCATCTCATCTCATCTCATCTCATCTCATCTAATATCATATCATATCATCTCATCTCATCTCATCTCATCTCATCTCATCTCATCTCATCTCATCTCATCTCTTGTCATCTTATCTCATCTCATCTCATCTCATCTCATCTCATCTCATCTCATCTCATCTCATCTCATCTCAATCATCTAATCTCATCTCATCTCATCTCATCTCATCTCATCTCATCTCATCTCATCTCATCTCATCTCATCGCATCTTATCTCATCTCATCTCATCTCATCTCATCTCATCTCATCTCATCTCATCTCATCTCATCTCATCTTCTCATCTCATCTCATCTCATCTCATCTCATCTCATCTCATCTCATCTCATCTCACCTATTTCATCTCATCTCATATCATCTCATCTCATCTCATCTCATCTCATCTCATCTCATCTCATCTCATCTCATCATATCATCTCATCCCATCTCATCTCATCTCATCTCATCTCATCTCATCTCATCTCATCTCATCTCATCCCAGCTCATGTCATCTCGAATCAACTCATTTAATCTCATATCATCTCATCTCATCTCATCTCATCTCATCTCATCTCATCTCATCTCATCTCATCTCACAATCATCTCATATTAACTCAACTCAACTCAACTCAACTCAACACAACTCAACTCAACTCAACTCAACTCAAATATCTCATCTCATCTCATCTCATCTCATCTCATCTAATCTCTTCTTATCTCATCTCATCTCATCTTATCTTATTTTACTCATCTCATCTCATCTCATCTCATCTCATCTCATCCATCTCCTCTTCATCTCGGATGAGCTCATCTCATCTCATCTCATCTCATCTCATCTCATCTCATCTCATCTCATCTCATCTCATCTCATCTCTCGTTCATCTCATCTCATCTCATCTCATTTATCTCATCTCATCTCATCTCATCTCATCTCATCTCATCTCGTTTCATCTCATCTCATCTCATCTCATCTCATCTCATCTCATCTCATCTCATCTCATCTCATCTCATCTCCTTTCATCTCATCTCATCTCATCTCATCTCATCTCATCTCATCTCATCTCATCTCATCCATCTCCTCTACCATCTCATCTCATCTCATCTCATCTCATCTCATCTCATCTCATCTCATCTCATCTCATCTCATCTCATATCTCATCTCATCTCATCTCATCTCATCTCATCTCATCTCATCTCATCTCATCTCATCTCATCTCAAGCTCATGTCATCTCGAATCAACTCATTTAATCTCATATCATCTCATCTCATCTCATCTCATCTCATCTCATCTCATCTCATCTCATCTCATCTCAGGATCTCATCCCATCCCATCTCATCTTATCTCATCTTATCTCATCCCATTTCATCTTATCGCATCTCATCTCCATCTTTCAGCTCATCTCATCTCATCTCATCTCATCTCATCTCATCTCATCTCATCTCATCTCATCTCATCTCATTTTAAATCATCTCATCTCATCTCATCTCATCTCATCTCATCTCATCTCATCTCATCTCATCTCATCTCATCCCAACACATCTCATCTCATCTCATCTCATCTCATCTCATCTCATCTCATCTCATCTCATCTCATCTCATC